TCCTTAGACAAAACCGCAGCACCCAGATGATATAGGAGGGGGCCGATCAGTAAATAGCAAAGGAAATGGCTGCTCTGAGAGTGGCTCCATGGTTAGGGTCTTTCAGTGAGCAAAGGCAAGGCTTAGGGGCTTAGGATTGAATTCCACAAGATCATGAGTAGGAGGACTTGTTCATCAATCCCACGATGCCAGAAAGAGGCCCTCAATCTGAAACACACTCAAGAAATTCTAAAGAGTTTAGTTTGGGACAAAGCAAAGGAAGCCCTTCTTTATCTAAGGAAATAACCACATGGAAATAATTACCTCCAAGAAGTAATACAAGGTGAAAGTATAAAACAGCGTGTGAATGGCCTGGAGATATTGTTGACTGACACTGGTCATTGAGTTGGGGTGCCTTGGTTACATCTAGACCTGTGATGGGGGCCACCTCTGTCTCCCTCCCTTTAAACACTATCCTCCACCTGCAGAGTGCCCAGGCCAGAGGATGGACTCACTGACGCCCTTCTTGTGTTTTTTTTTTTTTTTTGCGGTACGCGGGCCTCTCACTGTTGTGGCCTCTCCCGTTGCGGAGCACAGGCTCCGGACGCGCAGGCTCAGCGGCCATGGCTCACGGGCCCAGCTGCTCCGCGGCGTGTGGGATCCTCCCGGACCGGGGCACGAACCCGCGTCCCCTGCATCGGCAGGCGGACTCTCAACCACTGCGCCACCAGGGAAGCCCCCTTCTCGTGTTTTATAAGCTCATGTTTTAGCTTTATACCAAGCTCAGAAGGTAGGAAAGACAGCCATCCCTGGTTTGGGGCTATGGCACCTCTGACTTTCTCAAGGTCAGCAGGCAGAGTGGGGCCTGCCTTGTGTCTGCTGACCCATCCACCCTGGCTGAAGCACCTCTCGGGGTCCTCTAGTGGATTTATACCTGCCCCTGCTCCCTCCTCTCCCCGCAGCGCAGGCTCACAGGGGAGAAGGTACAAGAGGCAGGCCCCTGGGCTTTCCTGTGCACGAGTCTCCCAGACACAGCCGGCAGGACTTTTGCCAGCTGGGAGGGCGTGCTGTGGAGAAACCAGGCTTGTTTGGCCTCTCTGATGCCTTAACTCGGGCAGGGCTCTGAACTTCTCCGTGGAAACGTCTCTGCCTTTCCTTTGTCCCCTCCGGGCTACGATGGAAATGGCAATGCTTCACTCTGAGAGTCGGGGAGTCCCGATTGTATTAGAGTTAAGTCATCCACATAGGCACACACTAATCAGGCAGAAATGTGCACTGTCGTCAGCCAGACCTTAAAGAAATACTTTTCTCCTCTGTTCTGGACTTTTTTTTTTTTTTGCTTCTATTTAAAGCAGTCAAATAATTTCACTTTTGATGTGTATCTTTGGCGCTCTTGGAGAGCCCATTCTGGCTGAGGTTGGGGAGAGGGATTTGGCCCCTGACTTGCGTTCCCCGCCACCTTCCCCAGGATCCTGAACGCTGGAGGCTGGCGGTGTGGTGATCCTTGGAGCACGTGCTCAGGCCCCAAGGGAGCACTGTAGCCATCAGGAAGCTGCCTTCTCCCGAGAGCTTCCCTGTCACAGCTCTGCACTCTGTTCCTTGGTTTGCGGGGGCGGTAGGGGGCGAGAAGCAAAGCTGGGGTCTCCGATCAGAAGGCCATCTTCTAGGCTGGAGGGTGGAATCTCATGTCTGGCTCCCATCCCTAGATCTCTGGGGCAGGGGGTTGGGGGAGGGGAGAGATAAAAAGAAAACCAAGAGTGCTAAGGAGAGCTTGGCCCTGACAGCACCGTTCTCTTGGAGAGGCACCGTCACAAAGGGGTGGACAGCAGAGTGCCGTCGGTACACTGCTTATTCGACTCACCAGTTGTGTGGCCTTGAGCAGGTTAATCTCTCAGCCTCTTTTCTTCATTTTGAATATTGGAGATAAAAATAATAACTAACTACCTCATAGGATTATTATGAGGATTAAATGGGACAGTGCATGTAAAATGCCTGTCCTATTTTATAATAGGTGCTCAACTCAGATTCACCATTTATTATGTGGCCCTAGGCAAGTGACTTAACCTCTCTGAGCCTCAGTTTCATTGCCTGTGAAATAAGAAAAATGATACCTACCTTTTGGCATTCTGATAAAACTTGGAGTTAACAGGTAGCAATCCTCTTGCACAGTGGTTCTCAAAGGGTCATCCCTGACCACAGCATTCCCTGGGACCTTCTTAGAAATGCAAATTTCCAGGCTCCATTCTACGTGCTAGATCAGTAACTCCCCTGCAGAGCTAGCTGTAATTGCCCTCCAGGTGATTCTGATGCTCTGTGAATTTCAAAGCCACTGCTCTAGAACAATTCCTGGCACAGAGGAGCTGGTCAAAGAATGAAGGCTAATTGAAATGACCTCTCAGCACTAATTGGAACCCAGCAGGTGGGCAAACCCTGCTGCTTAAGGAGGTAAGGAAGGGCTTTCTTGCTTTGGGGCTTTGGGATGCTAGAAATGTCTCTTTTTTTTTTTTGGCCTTAGGTGAGTCACCTAACCTGTCTATGGTCAGTTGCCGTCTGTAATAGGGAGGTATTACAGTACACCGCTCATGGCATGGATGTGAAGGTTAAATGTGCCTGGCACATAGTAATTGCTGAGTAAGTATCAGCAGTTGTTGACAGTGGCAGGGGATCCTGGACCCGGGGTGTTATCTCTGAGCTTCGTGGTAAGAGCAGTCCACTTTGCCTTCAGAAGTGAAGTGGACATGAAGAAGCTGAGGGGGACCCTGAGAGCAGAGTTGGGCTGCCAGCTCTCCTTGGAGCTCCTCTTATTTATTTATTTATTTGGCTTCGCACAGCATGTGTGATCTTAGCTCCCCACCGCCGGGGAACTCCTCCTCCCCTATTTAAAAAGCATCACCCATGTGGTACCAGGCATCATTATCTCATGTGGGCAAAACAAGAGGAAGCTGGTTTATGATGTACCACGAGGGAATTAAGTTTGACAAAAGAGGTCCTTCCCTGAGAGTGAGGATGGGAGAAAGAGCAAGGTTGGTGGCCTTTAAAACAAAGACTGACCCTAGCTGTCTTGGGAACCAGGGCAGTTCTGGGAATTGCCTTTAGAGCTGGGAGCTGACCTGGCCTGAGAAGGGTTCTCAGGTGGCTCGGCCACTAAACCCAGTCAGTTCAGCCAAGTTTCCTCCCATTTTAGGTCTTGGTTGTCCTGTCTCTAAAATCAGGCAGTGGCAACTTAGTGTCTGTAACATGGATCAGTCTGGATCCTTTAGCTCGTACACTCTGGGAGCTCTAGGCTGGAGGTCCAAGTAGTTGAGAGAAATTACAGTCTGGGAAGAGATGCCGGGGAAACTTTGGCATAGGAGTTGGTGCAGCCAGATGGATGCTCTCAACTGCCCACTAGACCTGGGGTCAGACCCCAGTTCAGATTTCAACTGCCTCTAGAAGTTGTATGACTTTGGCCAAGGCACAAGGCACTTTGCTCTTCTGAGCCTCATTTTTCCCACCTGTAAAATGTGATTAATAAGACCCCCTTACAGGTGTGAGGTGAGGGTGATATGAGATTACTCACACATAGCCTTAGCAAGCATCCCGGCCCAGGAAAAGGTCATTATTCTTAGGATCACTGGAAACCTGAGAAGGACTCCCTCTGAGTCCTCACCCAGGGTGACCCTGGGTGCCTGGTTCATCTAGGGGCAAGGAGAGCTACTCTCTGATTCCGACACCCCTCTTCCCCATGACCTTGAGGTACGGTGGACTATCCTCAAGGACTTTGTAGGACAGGAGGACCAGGTTTCCTTACAAGAACTCATGAGGCAGAACCCGGGGGCCACGAGTGGAAATTCACGATTGCCACCTGCTCAAGCGGTAGGGGTGGTTTTGATGCGAGGGTGTGGGAAAGAAGCAGGGGCGGGGGTGTAGGGCTCGGGGGATGTTCCCAGGACAAGAGGCCGCAGTGGGGCTGCGGGGAGTGGGGGGCAGGATGGGCCACTTCGGGTCACGAGGGGACGGAGTGTGCAGCGCCCTCTCCAGGCACCCCGCTTGCGTGCACCTGGTTGCCCGCAGTCGGCTTCCACAAAGCGTCTTCCGCCCTCACTTTCTCTGCGTTATTGCTTTATCCGTTCGGTTCTCGCTGCTGCTGACCGATGCCCAGACGTGCTCTGTTCCACCCCACCCCTCTGGATGCCATCCCGGTCCGCCCTGTCTCCCTTCTCTTCTCGGGGTCCCGCTCGGTGGTTCAGCAAGGTCCAGCGCGAGGCTCCCCTCTGCCTCTCCGCCCCTTGGGGCCGGTGGGAGCCGCCAGGGTCGGTGATGAGTGGCTGCTGCCGTTTTCCTCTTTTTCACCTCACGGGACCCCCTCAGCCTCCCAATACCCCACCCCCAATCCCGGAAACGTAACGGGGATGCCGCGCACAGCCCTCGGGGAAATTCCCAGCGCAAACGGGAGGCGCGGGTCCTGTCCTTGGGGGCGATGCAGGGACCGCATCCGCAGGTTAGGGGGCGAGGACTCGCGGCATGGAGGCAGGGGCCTGGGTTTCCTGGGTTGGGGTGACTCCTGGTGGTCACTTAGAATGCCCCAAGGGCTGCTAACTGGCTCGGAAGTCCATCCAGCTCAGCCCAAGCGGGAGAATGAATCACGGCGGTGGCCCAGGCAGTGTACGTTGAAGTAAAGAGAACCAGCTTCCTGATATTGACACCAAGGGTGATAGAGACCTCCCAGCCTGACCAAGCCACTCCACCCTATCCGAGAGGTCCCTTCCAGGCCTCCAGCCTGGAGGTTCCGATGGTTTTTTTTTTTTTTTTTCTGGTACGCGGGCCTCTCACTGTTGTGGCCTCTTCCGTTGTGGAGCATAGGCTCCGGACGCGCAGGCTCGGCGGCCATGGCTCACGGGCCCAGCCGCTCCGCGGCATGGGGATCCTCCCGGACCGGGGCACGAACCCGTGTCCCCTGCACCGGCAGGCGGACTCTCAACCACTGCGCCACCAGGGAAGCCCCCGATGGGGTTTTAAGGGAAGTGGTGCCCCTCACACAGGTCTCTTCCTGGTCCCTGTGTCCCTGTCGCTGGAGGTATCTGTGGGAAAGGCCACTACCATCTACGCTGTCAACGGCACGGAGATCCTGCTGCCCTGCACCTTCACCAGCTGCTTTGGCTTCCAGAACCTGCGCTTCTGGTGGTCCTACAACAGCAGTGATACATTCAAGATTGTAAGTAGGCGGGGAAGGGACAGGACAGCTCAGATCCTCCTCCCTTCCTTGTCGCCTCACCCCTGCCTCCCATCCCAGGCTCTGGTCATTTCTGGCCTGACCCCACGGTGATGGTCCCCAGGACCTTTCATCACCTTTTCTCCCAGTATTCTTGTCGGAGCCTGTCTAGAAGGATCTAAGTGGGAAGGATGCTTAGATTGTATTGCCAGAATTTGGGGTCTGTTGGAATTCTTGGCTAGAGTCCTCTGTCTGGTGTGAAGAAATACCTGAAACTTGGTTAGCTTGTGTAAAAATTAATACTTTAATATAAAAACCGGAGAGGCAAGACCTTTGGGAGACTTGGAGAGGGGGAATGAGGAGAGTCCAAATCGGAGGAGGGCTGGGGAACAGGCCTTGGAAGGATGGGAGGGCAAGGTGGAGAAGAGAAGGGGCCAGGGCTGTGGCCACGGGTGGGGATGGGGCAGTCAGCAGGTGTTTATTGAGTACTCACTCTGCAATCTCGTAGGGGACCAGCAGTGACAAGACACCAACTCTGGATGTAATTAGACGCTGAATTCAGAGGGTACCGATGCACAGTGCTGTGGGGTTGATCCACGTCCTGATGGAGGGTCAGAATTCAGACAGATGGGATGTGGCGTCAGCAGAGGCCAGGGGGAGTGATAGAGGGAAACGAGTGTGGTATTTGCAGGATTCGTTTCTTAAAAGGCTTTTATGAAGAGAACAGTAAAAGCATGCTACATTCTAGGGAGACCTTAATAACAGAAAGTGGGTTTAGCCTGAAGCCAGTAAAATCCAGGTTAGACAGGCAGAGCTATCGATACTGGAAGGAAACAACCGGGGGAGGGCTCTTCCTGGACCTGAGCAGGGAGATACCCAAGGAGTGGGCTGGAGTGATGTCATGACTCTCGAAAGGACCTTGATTCTTTCTTGGCCACCTCCTGGCTCCCCTCTTCGCCCCCACAGCTCATAGATGGGATCGTGAAGAATGAGAAGTCAGACCCCAAGGTGAAGTTGAAAGATGATGACCGCATCACTCTGGAGGGCTCTGTGAAGGAGAAAATGAACAATATTTCCATTCTGCTGAGGAACCTGGAGTTCAGCGACACGGGCAAATACACCTGCCACGTGAAGAACCCCAAGGAGAATTACCTTCAGCACCAGGCCACCATCTTCCTCCAAGTTGTTGATAAACGTACGCAGTAAGGGCTGGGACGAGGGCAGTAAAGTTGGAAGGACGGGGGTGGGGGCGGGTACCCAATTCAGTGTAATGGTGAAATGGACCACGTTGGTGTTTTCTTTCGCTTTATGCTTTCAAGAGCTCCCAGAGTTACATCTGGAAGCTCGAATAACTTAGCTTGAATACTTATTCTGCCCCTGAATAGCTTGTGATATACACTTAGGCCTTCTGAACCTTGTTTTCCTCATCTGTAAAATCCACATTCGCTTAGGGCTGTCGTGAGAGTTACAGAAGCTACTACATGGGAGTGTTTTGTAAAGTTCTCCGTACGTGCTAATTATTACTGTGTATTCTGTTAGCGACAGCCGATTGGATGCCAGGCATCAAACCAAAGAGTGCTAGGAATGATACACAGTGTTCTTTCTCGAGGAATTGACAGGTCAGGGTAGGACAGAAGACAGGTAAACACATAATTGAAACAGGGGCAGAGCATGTAGAGGCACAGGTAACCGACTGATAAGAATGATCTCTCCCTCTGGAGCTTAAGTCCCAGTTGGTGGGGTTTCATTCTGACACAGGTGAAACAGACAACGAGGAAGCACGTGATGAGGGTGTCACCTGATCCCAGACACTGGAGGTGTTTAGGGAAAGGGCTGGAGGAGTTAGGCTGGGTGGGCATCTACGAGGGGGGAGCCTGGAAGGCTAGGGAGGTGCAGAAGCAGAGAAAAAGGAAGGAAATCTGCTTAAGGATCCTGATCGTGCTGTGTTTCTTGTGTGCCTGGGGGTCCACTGCTCCCTAGATGGTGTGGAATTTCTACAGAGGAGATGCTCATGATTCTGGAATTTTTTATTTTTATTTCTTTAATTATTTTTTTGCGGTACGCGGGCCTCTCACTGCTGTGGCCTCTCCCGTTGTGGAGCACAGGCTCCGGACACGCAGGCTCAGCGGCCATGGCTCACAGGGCCCAGCCACTCCGCAGCACGTGGGATCTTCCCGGACCAGGGCACGAACCCGTGTCCCCTGCATTGGCAGGCGGACTCTCAACCACTGTGCCACCAGGGAAGCTCTGGAATTTTTGAAGTTAGGGCCATTAGGATTCTCAGGTGGATTGGATATGGGGGTTTGTAAAAAAGAGAGGAGTCAAGAATGACTCCAAGGATTTGGGCCAGAGCAATTAGAGGGATGGAGTTTTCTCAGCAGAGATGGGAGAGACTGTGGGTGGAGAAGGTTTGGGAAGTCAGGGGTTCAATTTTCAGTTGAGGGATCTGAGGCTAGAAGAGTTAAGTGACCAGTTCTAGGTTACCCCCTAGTAAGTGACCATGGAAATCCTGTAGTTGAAATCCAGACTACCTGGCTCCAGTGCCTTCTGATCACATAAGAGATGTCACAGGGAGATTCTCAATTTCTTCTGCATGGGCAGAGGTAGACCTAGGAAGAGGCAAGTGAAAGTCTCATGTTTGAGGGTCAAGTCAAACCTGGGTGCTGTGGTCCCTGAGTCTGAGTTATTCCAGAACTTGTGTGGGTGTCTGCGGGAGGGCGTATGTGCAGAGTGTCGGGGGAGAGGGCTGTCTTCCTGTTATGCCCTAGCCTGATGGATGCCATATTCTAGCTTCTCCTGCTTCCTGCCTGAGGTGGGCGTGTCCCAGATGCCCAGGTTGGAGGCTCTGGAGCTGCTGGGCTGCCATGGTGACTCCTGCTCCCCTTTTCCACCCCCCTTCTCTCCCTGCTCTGGCCATGAAGTGGAAGAAGTGGACAACACAGTGACACTCATCATCCTGGCTGTTGTGGGCGGGGTCATTGGGGTCCTCGTCTTCATCCTGCTGGTTAAGAAGTTCATCGCCTTCATTATCAAGAAGACTCAGGAGAAGAAGTGAGTTGACTCCTGTCCTCCCACCAGCCCACCACCCACTCTCATATTATAGGTGTCCCCAGCAACTTCTCATCCACCGTCATCTACCCCATCTGCCCTTCCTCCTTCTGCCTGTCTCCTCATCCCATCGTCTCTTCCTAATTCTCTCACTCTCTTCCCTATCCCTGCCACCCTCCTCCCATCTTCCAGCCCCATCCCTAATCTCACTTCCTTTTCCCCATCCTCCCAGTAGGTGTTTGTTAACCCACTGACTTCACTGAGAACATAAATACAACCCACTTGCTCTTCCTCATTCCCCTGTCTTCCTGCCCATCCCGTTAGCCTGTCTCTATTTGTACCACCTAAATCTAAAGTCCTACCAAAGGCTTTAAGATGCCTTTTTTCTTTTCAGATGAGGGAAAATATAAGATTCCATGTACAGAAGCTCTAAAATGGGAAGATCCTTCTAGGGTGATGGGAGTCTCTTATTGTGAAATTCTGAAAATCCTAATGAGGGAGATAAAAACAGTCTGAAAAGGCTGATATGGCCACCTAGGAAGCCCTAGGATAAATTCAGGTATAAATCAGATATCTGTAAGAGGAAGGGGAGGAAAGTTGGGGAGGTACAAAGGGTGCGACCCAGGCCCAGAATTGCCGGAACAGGCAGGCTCCAAAATTGAATGTTGCAAAACCAGAGCAGGCAAAAGGCATTTGAAAGTTGTGTTCTTGGCAAGAAAGATGAGATGAGGCAGGCCTGCCACTGGAGCAGAGAGGGTGAGAGTAACAAGGAGAGGAAGAGAGAAGGGGGAGATGCTCTGTTGGTGTTGGCTTCATTCAGCTCTGTTGAGAAGAATTAGGCTTGAAAGGGCAGAAATTCCACTGGTAAGAAGGGAAGGCAACTGATGGCAGGGAGGGACTTTAGAGAACGGCAGAGGGGAGGGGGAGCAGGGAGGCACTGGTTGAGATGATGAACTCTTGGGTTGTCCGCCTGTATCATGGCCAGAGGCTGGGAGGGTTTTGGAGATCTGAAGAGGGGCCAGGAGCATGGAGCTGGACCAAACTCTGTTTTTAGCAATCAGTCTGACTATTGATGGCGAGCAAATTTGGAGAACACGTTATTCAACATATGGTTTAAAAGCACTTAGAAAAGAAAACAGTGATCCTTGGGAGCCACCACAAGTTCATCAAAAACAAGGCAGGCTAACATTTTCTTGCTAGCACACAGCTGGATCAGGACGCTATAGATAGTAATACTTCCTGTCATTCACCGCATGCCTACCATGTGTTAGGTACTCCGCCAGGCATTTTTTAAATAAAATATGTACAATTTTATTTTGAAGTTGAGCAAAGTGAGGTTCAGAGTGGTTTAGTGACTTGACTAAGGCTAATAAGTGATAGAGTTGGGATTTGAATCCTGACTTGTTTGCTTTGAAGCTTCAACCATTGCCACCATACCCTACTGATTCATGGGGTGGATCTAGAGTTCAGTCAGTCGTTCTTTCATTCGGTGGCTCTTTTTGAGGTGCTGTGTGCAAGGTACTGTGCCAGGTGCTGCAGGAAATTCTGGAAGGAATGAGATTCTGTAAAGAAGACATGTACACAAATCATTGTAACATGAGGCAGAGGGATTAGGGCCGGTGTAGAGGTGTGAGAGAATGCCGCAGGGGTTCAGGAGAGGGTGAGATACTAGGGAAGGATTTCTGGCCAAAGAGACATTTGTGATCAGCTTTGCAAGATGGATATGATTTAAGCCCTGGGGAGGGTGAAGAGAAGGGTGTTCCGGGTGGGGAACACTGAGAGCAAAGACAGAGAGTCTGGGAAAGGAGCATGTTCTGGAGAACAAGGCATTTATTGTTGTTGTGGTTGAGAGAGTGGGGGGGTGTGATAGGGAGGAAGGGGAGGAAAAACCTGCGAAGGGGTTGGGACAGACCCTTGAGGACCTGGGAGTCCAGGCTGAGACTGGCTTTCCTCTGACTGCAGGGGAGCTGGGGAGGGCTTGCAGGGCCTGGCTCCATCAGAGGACCCGGAAGAAAGGGTCTGGCCTTGGTGGGCACAGGGACTGGCTGGGGAGGTGGGAGACAGGCCACGGGGAAGCCCGAGGAGGTTCTCCGAGCAGCGAGGAAAGCCTGCATAACAGCAGAGATGGGGCTTCTTCCCGAGAAGACGGGAGGTGTGGGGCAGCATCTCATGATCAGTTCTGGGCTTTCACATGTGGGTGCAGTTCCCTCTGCATGGAGTGTCTCCTCCCTCTTTTCCTGCTGATCTTTCTTGGTCTCAGCTTAAAGGACACTTCCAAAGAGGCTTCCCTGACCCTAGAAGGAGCCTTCCTAGGTTGAGTCCCTCCCTGGTATGCCCCCCATCCTATCATTTACCACATTGTATTGCAATTACTTGTGTAATAGCATGTCCCCTGGAAGACTGCAAGTGTTTGCAGAGCAGGCACCATGTCAGTTGGACACCCTTCTAGCCTGATACGGTGCCTGGTAGCCAGTAGGGTCTTAGTAAAGAAATATGGATCGTTAGGTGGATAGGAATTGGCCAGGTTGACTATACCTTAGGTATTGAGATAGATAGATAGATAGGTAGATGATAGATAGACCCATCTGAATAGAGGTCTTTAGTGGTATGTCACAGGGCTCTGTTTGTTCACTGTTATTATTAAGACTTGAACTACACTAGGAGTGATATAAGAAACCTAGCAACTATATTGGATGGAGAACAAAATTGAGATCTAGGAGGTGATTCGGTTATACATACATACATATATATTCCTTTTCAGATTCTTTTCCATTATGGTTTATTACAAGATATTGAATATAGTTCCCTGTGCTATACAGTAGGACCTTGTGGTTTATCTATTTTATATATCGTAGTTTGTATCTGCTAATCTCAAACTCCTAATTTCTCTCTCCCGCTTTGGGAACCGTAAGTTTTTTTTTTTTCTATGCCTGTGAGTCTGTTTCTGTTTCGTAGATAAGTTCATTTGTGTCATATTTTAGATTCCACATATAAGTGACATCATATGGTATTTGTCTTTCTCTGTCTGACTTACTTCACTTAGTATGATAATCTCTAGGTCCATCCATGTTGCTGCAAATGGCGTTGTTTCATTCTTTTTTATGGCTGAGTAATATTCCATTGTATACATGTGCCACATCTTCTTTATCCATTCGTCTGTGGATGGACATTTGGTTGTTTCCATGTCTTGTCTATTGTAAATAGTGCTGCTATGAACACTGGGGTGCGTGTATCTTTTCGAATTAGAGTTTTCTCCAGATATATGCCCAGGAGTGGGATTGCTGGATGATATGGCAACTCTATTTTTAGTTTTAAAAAACTAAACCTACGTACTGTTTTCCATAGTGACTGCACCAATTTACATTCCCACCAGCAGTGTAGGAGGGTTCCATTTTCTGGATCTAGGAGGATCTTAAGAGGCTGGAGCTATGGACTAAATCTTGCAAGATGAAATTGATGAGGACAAAATGTTAAGTCCTTCCTGAAGGCCTCAAACCCAGGTATAGAAGCCCAGGCTGAGGCTAAGATGTAGTTTAGCGACAACAGCAGTGAAAAAGACTTGGAGGGTTTCATGAGCTGAAAGGTGGGAGTGATGTAGCAGTCAGGTCTTCCCTGGAGAGCCCTGTGCAGCCTGGGCACTGCTGTTGGCGGGCGTTATACTCAAACTGGAGCATGTCCAGCACAGGGTGGCCAGGGTGTTGATGCTCCTGGGGGGTGTCTTCCACCTAACCATCTCTCCTTCCTACTGCCCTGTCCCACCATCCCCTGTTCACATCTGCTGTGCCCCTTCCATCTCGTTCTTCTACCTCTGGTCACAGTGAGCTTCAGGAGGAAGGGCCTGCGGGGTCCTGGGTGAGGAGCGCTTTGCCCTTGGCATACAGCCCGCTGGCCTGTACCCTTCCCCTGGGTTGGCACAGTCGGACAATTGCCCCTCAGCACTGATCCCTAGGAACAGCGCCTGGTACCCTTGCCTTCTGCCACGTTGAGATAACTGGGTGATGCTAGCCTTACTGAGACCTTCCTGTGGGTCAGGCACTGTTCCAAGGGCTCACTGACTCCTCCCAGCAACCCCATGAAGAAGGGGCCATCATTATACCCATTCTATAGATGAGGATATGGAGGAAGAGAGGTCAGGCAACCTGGCCTCTGGCTACCATAGCTCTACAGAAGGCCAGGGAGAGGGTCCAGCGCTGGCCCAGGGCACCATGGCTCCTCCTCTACCATTTACCCATCACTTGGGTTCCTCCTCTCACCAGCACGCCCCTCTCTCCTCTCTCCTCTCAGGAAGGAGTGCCTCGTGAGTTCATCAGGGAACGATAATACAGAGAATGGGTTACCTGGCTCCAAGGCGGAAGAGAAAGCACCAAAAAAAGTGTGAGCCCTGCTTGGGGCCAAGCAGCCGCCGGGAGCCTCGCTTTCTAATGATGAAACTGATGCCTGAGCCGTGTCCGTGAACCCACGTGCCTGAGACACCTGCTGCTTGGCTCAAACTGTAGTCTTTCCGGGCGGGGAGAAACTGGGGTCCTGTCCAGCCTGCCCCACCCCCTTCCCCACCAGGGCTCCCCAGGGACAAGGGCTGGCCAAGGGAGGGACCCTGTGGAAGGTTCAGGAAAGGAAAGGAGGGGCTGGAGCGGTGTGGAGGGCCGGTCCCCCGACACCTGGGTAGATGGTCTCCTTCAGTGTCCCCACCCTGGACAGGGAATGCCTTGGTTTTCCTCCAGATGTCTCTTTGTGAGAGACTTGGGGGGTTGGTGAGGGCTGTCCCGGTAGCTGGACCCTGAGTATGGAGGACTAACCCTTCTACGGTGGGAGTGGCCAGAGGACTCTGTACAGCATCCGAGGGTGGGAGGCTGCTGGAGGGGTCCTACAGTGAGAGGCTTTGATGGATTCCTGCTGCCCCACATCCTTCTAGTGAGGAACTCCCCTTTCCCCCCACCCCTGGGTGCCTGCCTGCCTGTCTTGGTTCTGCCCCCCCCCCGACCCCAAGCTGCTCAGTCTCTGAACCCTCCCATCTAGGGCTGCCACCCTGGTCTTGGGGGCTCCTAGCCCACCTAGTCTGCTCCTCTGATCTCTGGGCCCTGAGGGCTCATGCAGGGGTCCCTCAGGCCTTCCCAGAGCACTGGGGCTCCACCTACACCTTTCCTAGTATTTCTCCTTGGGGGAGCAGGGCTGCAGAGGTGGGCCTCTTGGCCACGGAACGCTCACCCCAGCCCTGCCAACGCTGGCTGCCCCTTCTCCTCGGCATGGCAGGACCATGGCCACTGCTGGGAGCTCGCAGCCAGCTCCGCCCTGCTCCTCTTCCCCTGAAGCAGCAGGTGGCGCCATCTTGCTTGAGGAGTTGCTCCTGTGTTCCTCCAGCTTCTCCCTGCCCAGGGGTGTTCATCTCCATCCCTGCGTCAAGGCTGGCCTTCACCTCGGGGACCCTGTTGCTTTGGATGGGAGGGCCCTTGGGTTTTCTGTCTGCTTCCTGCTCAGCTGTGCCCCACTCTCACCCCAGGGTTGGGGAGGTGCAGGGAGAGAGTGCCCAGGGTTTTCCTTTGCTTTTCCACGCACTGGTTTGCACACCCCTTGCGTATGGGGCTAGACTGTGCCTTAGCTCCTGAGTCCTGGCTCATGTGGTTCCTCCCCGCCTCAGCCCCTAGGGAACAGCCAGCTCTGGTGGGCCCTGGTGAGGGTCCCGCTGCCCTCACCCAGGGTCAGGTAGGGGACCAGGGAGCTGGAGTTGTGTCGTTAATAGCCCGCTGGCCAGCCACTGAGTCTTGGAGGCGTCTGCCAAGTGCTCCCGTGGGCCCCTTACAGGCCATGTCGTGGTATTGTCCCTGTGGGGCTGGGGAAGTGAGGGGGGCCGGGGCTGTGATCATGGAGGAATCCGCCATCTGCTCCCACCCCCTCACTCTCTTGTTGAATTCCTGACACTCTGTCCTCTGGGCCCCTGGGAGGGATGAGAGGGGAGTAGCCCCCTTTTCCAAAGTGTGTGGGGACTGCCTGAGGACTCTCCCTGCCAAAAAGCAGCAGCGAGCGTCCCCAAGGGTGCAGGTTTGGGGAGGGGGAACAGGAGTGCCTGCAGGGCAGCCATGGCTGTGACCTGTGACCCTTGCCCAGCCTGAGGGGCTTGCAGGGTCCCACTGAGATCTGCCTCTGTCCCTTGCGGCCTCCTCCACCCATCCTGGGCTCAGGTTCAGATTTTCCTGGCTTTGGGAGCAGACAGACAAGAGCCACCAGTCATTCGGGAAACTTCGTAGGCTGCCTTCATGCAAAACTGCTTGCTTCTCCTTTCCCAGCGTTAGCATTTGGGAGGGCAGAGTGTCTTGTGCTCCTCTTACTCCCTTGAGAGGAAGCCAAGGCGTACAGAGTGGGGGAGAGGAAGAGCATCATAGGCGGCTCATGCACATTCTCTTGGCTCAACTTTCCCTATCTATAAAATGGGTGTAATAATACCTACCTCACAGGACTGTTGTGAGGCTTGGCAAGTTTTGGTTTAAAAATCTTTTTTGGCTTGGAAAGGGATCTAGCAGTCCAGATGTCATAATTGGAGGGATTGTTCCAAGTCTGTCCTGTCCTCATCTCTGTGTCCCATCCCCATAGTTCACACACACACACGCACACGCACACGTACACGTACACACACTCTCTCTCTTCTCTGTCTCTCTCTTCCCACCCCTCCCCCTTGGAATTGTTTTAGTCTTTGTAATGTTAGAACCCTGGCTCTGATGCTTAAAGTTTCCTGTCCATGGCTTTTGTTTGGTGGTTTTCAGTAGAGGTGATTGGGACTGTAGCGGGGACACTTTTGGCTGCCCCAGTGCCTGAGGGCTCTACTGACATTTAGTGAAGGTGGGGGCTAAGAATGCTAAACTTAGTCCCCACCACAAACACTGTCCTGCGCCAAGGCCGGGATTATAGCCACGGAGAAACCCTGGCATGAATTTGCCGTAGAAGATGTATGGGCAAAGCCATCTTACCAGGCAGACCCTCAGCAAGTGCAGGTCTCCAGGGGCTGGTGAGGGTGTTTTCAGGGCCTGTGGGCTAGAGAGAGCCATTCACAAAGTTGAACTTGGGAGCCCTGGACACACGCATCTATGCTGACAGTAAGGTCAGGAGACCGTAGATGAAGCGTTTCCCAGCTCCCCGTCCTTGACCCCGCATAGGACCTGAGCATTCCAGGCCTTGGGATTCTCCCGGTGCAGGAAGTGAGCAGAAGGCAGCCAGAAGGAACCTGGGGTGCTGGAGAGGTCTGGAAGAGAGGCCGGTAGAGCTCAGGGAGGGAGTGAGAGCGAGCTCCTGAGATGGGGGCAGCTGAGGGTGTGCCTGGGTGGCGTGCGTGTGTGGAAATGCATGACTGTGGGGTGGGTGGGCCATGCATGGACGTCGGGGTGTATGAAGGTGTGTGTAAAGGCTGAGTGTGCCTGAGATGGGGGAGGTTCTGCACGTTTCAGGAGCCATCTTCCCTGGCCAGAGCTATATCCGTTGGGGCACCTGGAGGCTGAGAAAGGATAGGAGACAGAGGGGGAGATCAGCCGTGCTCCTGGGCTCCGTAACGCCGTGACTCCATCTCATTGTCACAGACAGATGCCATCAGAGTGCTGGGGGGAGGGAGTGCCAGGAGGGGGCACTTCTCTGGGGAAAATCCTACAGCTTGCTTCACTTTACTTTGTCCCAGGTGGGAGTCCTTACCCTCCCACCCGATACACAGTGCTTTTGACTATCTTATGCATGGTTTATTCCTCTGCCTTGAATGACAATATACTCATAGTCAATTTCCTATGGAACTATAGATGGAAACAATGCAGCACAAACGGGCCTTGGGGGGCCTCAGATCTGCAGGTGCCTCCTGGGAGGCGCAGATGTGCACACACCCAGCACTGACTTGTGTTCAAGCACAGAATGAATGTGATCAGACTGTCTTGGCTTGACAACATGTTTTGCATTGTAGAGTTTTATCTAGCTTTGCCTTGGATGAAATAAAAATTATGTTTAATAGAAACGGTTTGGGGTTTCTACTTCTGGCTGACTGGAATTTGGGGCCCAGTTTTATTACTTGCCAGCCAAGCCTCAGTCTCCTTGTGTCTGAAACGTTCCCTGCCTTGGTGAGATAACAGATGTAAAAAGTCTAAGGATGCCTGGCATACTCACAGGCATTCAGGTCGTATTAGTGCTAGTAGTACTTCTTCTCTGGAGAAGCTGCAAAGATGGCCCTCTAATACTAGAATCGTTGCCAGGGCCCTCCCTGTACCGATGACCTTGGCAATGATTCTGGTACCACTAAATAGCATCACGCCCCCTTCCCCAGGCCCTTCCACCCCAGATTAACATTTATATCCAGGTGAAACCTGTTTCAAATGTACAACGTAAACCTTAAAGGGGAAAAGCACAAAACAATTTACTGACTGGCGTATGTGGGCACACTGAGCCCTGCTTGTCTGGTCCCTCCGGGTTGCTGTTTTAAGGGACAAGCTATCTGGGGGGGTGAGGGAGGGAGGAAGTTTAGGCTTATATCCCAGGAATGACTCTACCCATGCACATTTCATATTGTCCATCTTAAATCACTTGAACATAGATTAACCAAGCGCTCATGCCTTCTTTCCAGCTGCTGGGCACAATGCCAGGCTGGGAAAGAATTGGGACTATGTATGCGTGTGTGTGTGTGTGTGTGTGTTTGTGAGTGTGTGCTTGTATTCATGGATTTTATCATACCACACTTTCTCACCATACCATATCCTTCTCTTCAATGGATCCACCTAAGACTGCATCTCAAAGGGTTTCAAAGACTAAGTCCTCAAAGATCTTGTTAAAAGACTCTTCTTCCTAAATCAAGGGCCCCAGCAACGCAGAAGTCTGTGAGGTCCTCAGTTTCAGCTGATGTCCCTGACAGCACTCTTTTCTGAGCCCTCAGCTAAAGTACCTGCTCTGTGCTCTCACCCTGAATGGACTCATCGCCTGGATCCCCACGCCACTACTCACCTGTCTTCAGGTACAGCTTGTGGCCTGGGACCTCCTGCCACCTCCTCATCAGCTATAGACCTGTTGGATATTGAAGTTTCCTGGTCCATGTCTGAGTTTATAACACTCTTGGAATGCTGTTCATTGAACGTGCTGTTCTCCATGTAAGGATCAGTCCCAAGGCCTGGGTAGGTTCCCATTATTGCTGTTTCATCCCTACTTCCTCTCCCCATTGAACTGTGATCATAATGGATAGATAAACAATTGTGTCAAAGCCAAATTAGGAACTGGGACTGTCCTGGGCAAACCTGGACATACGGTCACCGGTTAAGGCCATACTGACTCAACTAGGACAAAAATACACATAAATTATGTGTTCTTATTTGAGCTGGTAGCAGGCACAGAGACCAGATGGACTATTCTGAACTAGATGCTCTGCTAGATGCTGGTATTACTAAAATGGGCTAAATATTGACCATACTCTCAGGGAGCTTATAGTCTCCTGTGATTGAAATAGAAAACTTTTAACACGATGCAAGTTTGCTTCTCACTTGTGGGTCTCCTGTCCAGGCTGCTTTCCACATGTCACTTGGAGGCGTTGCATCTTACTTTGTGGCTCTGCCCTCCTCTAGGTCCTTGGAGCCTTTTCCATGCAGGTGGTGGATGAGAAAGGTGAGAATGAAGATGGTGTGTTGGAAGGTTTATGGGCCAGGCCTGGAAGAGGACCATGTCATTCTGCCCACATGCTCCTCCACAGGGAGGCTGGGAAATGTAGTTGCTGGGTGCCCAGGAGAAAGCAAAATGTGTTTTGGGGAACACAGAGCAGCCTGTGAGATGACAGGTGTTCAGGTGGCTGCAAGAGGTTCAGCTGCGGCTGCAGCCCCGATGGTGTGGTGGGGACTGGAGATGGGGGGAGCAGGGCAGCAGGGCAGCAGCCCCGATCCTGCGGGGCTTCCAGGCCATGCCAGAAGGTTCACATTGTATTTTGTAGGCCATGGGGAGCCACTGGAAGATTTTAGCGGGGGAGAGACAGGACAGAGTTCGAGAGGGCAAGACAGGAGACAGTGAGCGTTGTGCTGCGGACTCGGTTGCCCAGGCAAGAGATGGTGGCAGAAAAGGGATGGAGAGCAGTGCAAGGGTTGCGATAATCAGGGGAGTAGAATATACAGAGCTTGATTTTAGGGGGCTAGGAGAAGATGGTGCCAAGGATGGCTTCTAAGCTCCTCTTGCATTGAGCGGGTACTTAGAGGTAAGTTTGCCCTGAAAGGGAGTGGAGGGGAACAGCGTGTTGGGCGTAATGTGCATTTATGGAAGTGGTGAGTGTGCCCCCAGGATACCAGAATAGTAGACAGTTGTAAATCAGAGTCTAGGACTTAGGAGTAAATGGTCCGTTCGGACCACGGGGAAGGTGGGCTCATCTAGGCAATCTTGGGCTCTGACACTCAGTGGCTGGTTGAAGGAAGGCGAGGCCATAAGGGTGCGATGAGGGCAAGGCCAAGTGATGTCTTTGAGGTCAAGGTAGCAAGGAATGTTAAGAACAGAGTGGCCATCGCTAAGTTAAGGATCAGTCCTTATGAAGGTCATCGGTGACCCCAGTGAGCCCAGCACAGTGGAAGGGGAGGGCCAGGTGGCAGAGGCAGAAGGAGCCGGATTCCAGGGTGTGGAAGAGTCAGTGGGAGGCACTGGCACATGAGGTTATAATTTCAGGTGACTTGGCTTTGAAGGACAGAAAAGGCATTGGCCCAGGTAGGAAGGAGGATGGATGGTTTTCTACTCAAGATGGAAGAAATAAAAGGGTTAAATGCCGCTGCGGAAGAGGCTCTGTATATTTTTTCCCCCAGATTTTTAGTTGTTTCAGATCGGAGAGTAAATCCATTTCCTCCCACTCCATCTCTGTCAGAAGAAATGCATAGAAGCTTATGATCACACAAAAACCTGTACAAAGATGTTTATAGAGATTTGATTTTGTCATTGCCATAAACAAGAAACGGTCTAAATGTCCTTCACCTGGTGAACGGATGAACAAACTGTCACATCCATACAGTGGAATACTCTTCAGTAATCAAAAGTTCCATATACTTTTGGATGGATGAATCTCAAGTGCATTACGCTAAGTGAAAGAATTCAGACTTAAGAGGGCGCCTACTCTATAGTTCCATTTAAATGACAGCCTGGAAGAAGCAAATCCGTAGGGACATAAAACAGATCAGTGGCTGCCCGTGGCTATAGGTGGGTGTGGGGAAGGTCACAGAGGGCAAGGGAGACTTTTGGGGGGTGATAGAGCTATGGTTGCGTGCTTGCACACATTTGTCAAAATTGGCAGAACTCTACACTAAAAACGGTGAAGTTTACTTTCTGTAAATGACATCTTAAAAAATTACAAAAAAATTAGATGATGTCACTCTTTTCCTCAGAACCTCCCAATTTGTCTTACTCATTCCTCACAATGGCCTAGAAGGCCTTACTGTTCTGATCCCTGTTGCCTCTTTGATATCTTCTTTTCCTAACACTCTCCTGCTGACTCATCCCGTGCTAGCATCATTGTTCTTGCTGTTCCTCAAACATTGGCCTCCTCCTGTCTCAGGACCTTTGCACATGCTGTTCCTGTGCTAGAATGCTCTTCTCCCAGATATCCACAGGTTTCATTGTCCTATTTCTTTTTTACTGGCCATGCGCTGGCCTGCAGAATCCTAGTTCTCTGACCAGGGATTGACCAGGGATTGAACCTGGGGCCCCAGTAGTGAGACCATCAGGGAGCTCCCCATCATTCTCCTATTTCAGTCCTATTTCAGTCAGGCCTCTGCTGAAATGCCATCTCCTCAGAGAAGACTCCCCTGGCTATCTTACCTACAATAACATCTTCCACAGCTCAGACACTGTCTCCTTATCCTGCTTTATTTTTTTTCAAAGCGCAGACATATATTTGTTTACTTGTTTATTGTATATCTTCTCTAACTAGGATGTGAACTCCATGGGAGCAGAGGCTGTGTCTATTCTCTGGGGAAAATCTAGACTTTCCCTTCTTTCCTTGAAGGAATGGGATCCTCAGGGGCCAGGGAGTACCCAGAGGGAGGGCAGCCCCATGGGGTTCAGAATGGACTGTGAGGTCAGCTGTCTGGGCCCCTGACTTCGCCAGGCAACGCATCTGTAGATGCCTTTCAGTTGGACCACAGGAAGGATAGGAGTTGTGGGCCCTGGATACAGAAATGGGGTCTGCAGACAAGCAGCATAAGCACCCCCAGGGAGCTTGTTAGAAATGCAGAATTTCAGGCTCCGCCTCCGAGCTACTGAATCAGAATTTGCACTGAGACTCATTTCCCAGGTGATTTCTAGCCCAAACCCCATCCTTTCCCTGGGCACTGTCTGCAGGAGGGTGAGAAAAGCCAGGGTTTGTCCTGTCCTTGATCTCTTCTTCTGGGTGTAAAAGGGCCTTAAGCAGTGAGCGTGGAGGCCTGTGCGAGGATGCGAGGGAGACCCCAGCTGTGTGTAATCATGACTAAGGCAAGTACTGATCTGGTTCCTGAGTTGCTAGTCACCTTCCTACAACATATTCACATCTTGTTACACTCCTGGAAGGCAGGTATAAAACCCCCTTTTACCGATGATAAAACCAAAGCATTGAGAAGCTAAAAAAATTTCCCACAGACAGGTAACTATTAGGTAGCAGAATTTAAATCCAGTAAAATGTGAAAAACAAACAAGTAGTCAACCATTTATGGATGTTCGTAAGTAGTAATAATAATAATGATAATCACTACCATATACTGAGTGCTTGCTGGACCTGGCCTGTCTCTGAGTACTTTGCATGTGTTTACTAAGTCATTTTGAGACAGGCTGGGTCCTCGGACCTAGGACCCTTTGCTGGGGTGCTTGCACCTGGACAATGGGGTCCTCGAGCAACAGAATACAAAGAAACTATACGGGACTAAAAATAACTGCGTGCATGTGCAGTTGGGGCGAAGTATGAACGATAAGATACAAAAAGGCCACAAACGAGCTGCCACTTCCAAGGTGCCGGGAGCAAAAGCAGGGTACTACACAGTG